GAAATGAATGAAGACAATCTGCTTTGTTTACTCGTCAAAATGTTCAGCCTCGTTCTCGCCACAACCTTGACACACCATATAAGAAAAACCATGTCTCGGTATTGTATGCCGGTAATCTTAACGTTGACCCAGCCAGTGAGTTACTGATGGTTCTGAAACGTTTACTGATATTGTTACGATAGCGGAAGTTATGTGACTCTGGAAGCATGGGCATTGGAGTTTCTAGAAGGATCGTGACTGTTTTTGGCAACTCTAATCTCTTCTAGGCGCCCCATATTTTAGTTTATAAGCCCGGCAAATAAAGCGGAGATAGAATTGCAGATAGACAGATATAGAGACAGATAATTGAGTCAAGTGAGCGGTAGTGACCGTAAGTAAAGTGCATGAATCGTTGTGAATTATAGCGTATGTTGAAGTTAAAGTGACTGTGGAAACTCTGTGTATTGCAAAGTTGTATTGAGGAAGAATAAACTAGTTTTATTTAAGAAAGGACTTGTATTGCTAAAGTTCCTCAGGAAGAATTTTTACGGGAAATTATCAAACAAGCAGATACTTAACAATATAGATAAACCTCCCACACATGAAAAACAAATTCTTTATTACAAAGTTTGTAATTATATGTTTATTTGTTGGTTGTTTTTTTTTTAGTTAAGCACAAAGCTACACAATGTGCTATCTGTGCTGTGTCCATCACAGGTATCAAAACCCGGTTTCTAGCAATCGACTCATTTTTCGGAAAACGTAGCTTAACGATAAAACAAAACACGAACGTAATAACAGGAAGCATTTATTAGACGTTTCGGAAACGTCATAATTCCATCATCAGTAATCTAGGGTTACAAAACAAACAAACAATATTTGTAATTACAACAGAAATATATTTATATAATAAATAAACAAATCGAATATACAAATATAAACTGTGGCACAAGTAAAATAGTTAAAATAGGTTTAAATCCAGTGTAGACTGTGTGTTATATAGGGACGGGAGAAGAGTTTTCATGCAACTTGACGAATGAAGTAGAGATAAAACAGCCTTTACAGCAGGAAATAGATCGTAGAAATTTGTTGTGTTATACTATCTGAATTATGTAATGTGCTTACCATATTTAAGCAATTAATGAAATGTACCCTCTCTCTCTGAAGCAATTAGAAAATTTTACAACTGCTTCAGGTTTTTATTAGTTGAAAATGCATAAAGCAGAATTTAAAAGTTTTAACAGTTCTTCAAGTCTAAGTAAGTAACCAAGGATATATAAAAAAAGAGGCGACAAGAAGACGCTTGTGTTGTGAAATAAGCTTGTGAAATGAGCTTGAGATCTAGTAAACAAGGTCAGAAGCCTAGTTAGGTAAGAAACGTTGCCTAGAAACAAGATGAGTGCACTAGTACTTGTGACAGGTTGATGGATTAGTGACCTCAACCATTTAGAACTAAGAAAGATTCGAAAAAGTTTGGTTTAGTGAATAATATCGGCACTTTGAGGCGATATCAGTTACAGAACATGGGTGTAGCAGTACAAGTGAATATGTGGCTGGCTAACACCACTTATCTATAACCAATTACTTGAGAGTTCTGGTTATGGTTTTGGATTAGCCCGGGAATTCCCCTAAAGTATCCAATAGGAACACAGGACTACTTGTGGGTGATGCTATGTCCTATTTAGTGGGTCGAGATAATATTTGCAAAATTTCCTAGATTTTATATTTGACAGTTTTATAAGTTAAACAAGTATTGGTCGTACTGGTAGATGTTTTATATTTTTAACACTGTAGCACAATACGATAATTTTTATATTAAAGGCTTAACAACATACAAAACCCAGCGATGCTTTTTATTCTTGGAATTTCATGGATATGTCTTTGCTTGTCGCTAAACGATGGACTATCCAAGTTCTGCACACCCAATTATCTATAACTGTTTTTAGCATTATAAACCCGCAGACTCACTGGGCACCTGCATATAAAAAATTATATTTTATATTTAGAAATTCTACAAGATGTGAAGTGTAAATAGAATTGGAGCACCTTTTAATTACTTAAATATGACATTTTTTAGCGCAAAATCAAACCCATATTTTAGCATTAAGAGTCTATAATCTTACCGTAGACCCATCCAGGAGACCAGTATATGAAGATCAAATTTTACATGAAAAAGTTTTCAAGGTTGGAAAAGTAAAGGTTAATAATGAAATTGTTTGTTCATTCAAAATTCTGTGTGTAGGAAGATAAAGGATATTATTTAAACATTTTACAAGATAAAGAACATGGAGGGGCAATGGGACACTTTAAAAAATGTTTCCAAATTTCCTATATATCACGTTTTATAATATATGAAATAGGTAAGCAGCAAAACACTTTCTTTTCAAAATTTCTTGTATATGAGGATATTAAGAAAAAACTTTTGAATTTAACTGTTTTACAAGATATAAAATGTGGATAAGAAACTGGTATAATTTTTACTTTTCAGTTTCCTACATATGAAGTTCAATTTTCAAATTTAAAAGTTCTACAAGTTATAAAGTGTAGAATTATTTTTCTGAGTGCAAACTACACAATGGTCTATCTACACCCTGTCCACTGAATGGAATAGAATCTCTGAAATTTGTGTTGCAAGTCTATGAACTCATTGTTGGCCCTACAGAAGGCAAAGAAAAGATGTCACTGGTATATTTTATTAAAATATATAGTAGAGAAAGCTGATATGGGTATTAAAAACTATTATTTGAAAACACAAAACAAGTAACAACGTTTTTACCTCTTTCCTCATTAATCATACTTAAATGCTTTCAGAGTTTCTTGCATGTGACATTTCAGAAGCTTACGAGATATCAAGTGTAGAGATGGCACTGGAGTATTTGAGTTTTTTATTTCCTGTATATGGTGTGATCAGCGCTTTGGATTCGTAACTGAATAGTTGTAAGTTCAAAGCTGGCACGCGTCATGCTGTTGTATCTTCGAGTTAGACACTTTATCCCACATGTTCCAGTCTATCCAACTGTATGATGGGTACCAGCTCTAAACTGGGGGTTAAATTGCGACGGCCTGGCATCCCGTCCGGAGAAGAGTTACTATTCTCATCACTTTGTGCCATTGGAACCAGAATTCGACAGCACCGTGTCTTGTAGGGGATTCGGCAAGAATTTAACCTTAACTAACTTAAAAGGATGATAATAAGTTGGCAAACAAGGATTTATAAGCATAAGAAAGTAACTTATTTTTAGAGAACATACTACATGTTTCGACTGAACATTGGTCCGACTTCTTCAGGTATAGAAACATGTAGTACTTTCTCCCAAAATAAATCATTTCTTTATACATATAAATTGTTTGCCAACTTATTATTATATTAGCATAACGTGCTTCTATACTCGAGTAAAATGGTGATCGCATTACTTATATAAAAATATAATTAGATATGAAACGAAGAGTTGCAACGGAAGTTTTTCCCAAAAAATCTCCATATGAATACGAAATTTTATATTTAAAGGGTTTACAAGATCTAAAGTGTAGAGATGGCATTGGAATATTTTTTATAATTATTTTATTTTATCTTTCTTTAATATCCGCATTTGATGACTACATTTTAAAAGATGTATACGTGGACAAATGTCACTGGAGCATTTTAATTTGTTCACAATTTATTGCTTATGAATACCAATTTTAGATTTAAGGTTTACAAGGAATAAATGTGGAGATATGACACTGTAATATTATTAAGCAATTTTTCCAATTTCCCCTGAATAACAAGTTTTATATTTAAAAGTTTTACAAAACACAAAGTATACAGATTGTAACGGTACCTTTTCTATTGAAAATTTCCTTTATATGGAGATCAACTTTTATATTTAAATGATTTACAAAATAGAAGATGTTGAGAAAGCACTGAAACACATTTTTACCCAAAATATTTATTACATACGAATAACAATTTTGATATTTATAAAATTTTCATTGAAATACAATGGAACGTGTTTTCTATTTCCCCTCTGGTATGAATTGTCTTTGATACAAAATATCAAACAAAAGAGTAATAAAATTCTTCTATATGACAAATTTCATTACGCCTAATTACATTTTGGCAGCATAAGCACAGAATACACAAGTAATTTACCCTTATACGTATCACTATTTTACTGCATAATTGTATTTTGTATACGAATGATTTGTTTATAAGATGGTAATTTTCCAAATCATGGCTTCGGACAATTCAGATCCACCGTATGTCGATATTATCGCAAGATCTGTCATGGTGATAAACCAACGCATGACTTTAGTAACATAAAAATGGGAAATTTGGCATAATTTTCAACCAGGTAAATAGTATATAATGATTAAGAATAAAACACGAATTCTTAAGTTCTGAAGCCACCTGTATAATTTTGTAACTAACGATTCTGGATAAGATGTATTTGTTTAATAACCATGACAAACATTTATACCAAGACATATAATAATACTTCATAGGTCTAACTTATACCAAAGTCATTGGCGCAGATTTCGTAAAACAATAAATAAAACGCAACTTCTCTGGTGATAGATCTAGATTATTTTAGAACGGGAGATATCAATTTGTTTATCAATAAATGACGTTAATGTAATATTAAAATATGCGCAATTTTTGCCAATTCAGTTTACGCAATACGTCGAAGAGATCTTTCTCTTCAATGGCGTCAGTGAAAAGTTTCAGTCAGTGTTTTACGTGATACATAATAGTAATATTGGTGGTCCTTTTTTTCAAATCAATCTATGATTTGTTTCATACATACACATACATTTACAACGTGCAACGCTAACAGGTTGTGTATAATGTATTTATTCTTGTTAGCACGTCGGATGCATGTAATTGATTGCGTTTATTCGACAAATTTTATAGATACACTTTTAAACTGCTTACAACAAATCCACTGAGTGACTGGAGTAACATCACGAAGATCATATGCAACACGGTAAGTCGATGGTTCATCTGATCGTCGGAGACTGTGCCGAACTTCATTTATATTAGGACAGGTAAGAACAAAGGCAATGTATGCATTGTTGTAGAAAAAAACTGACAGGTACTTTAAAGTACTGTTGACACTGTAGTTTTATGTAGCAAATAGAAATAAGCCCATAGGTTACACAAAGAAAGTTTCAGCAATTTTTGTTTAATTATCAAGACACAAGCCAATTTTTATAGATCATTTGATTCTCAAAGTACACATTTCCAAATATACAGAACGAGATGATTAGAATTTGTGAAAACATGATTAAGAAATGCATCATTTTGGCATCAATCACACCTATCATTTTGGATTGATGAGGTAACTGATGCAGCAACTACTGGTCAGATGGCCCTGTGTTCGATACTTTTAACATGGGTGAAAACCAAATGCTAGAAGATTTCCTGTTTTTACAGAGAGATATTCAACTATGGACGAGGCTTTACAGGTTTCTTTCTATCACAGATATGTAATGCAGGTGTCAACATAAACAAAATGAGAGACCAGGGATATGACAGTGCCTGTGTCTGGGGTATAAAGATAGGGGCGTTCAAGCCCGAGTGAGGAAAATCTTTCTTAGAGCAGTTTATGAGTAGTACAAGGCTCATTACCTCAACCTTGGTATCATCCATGTGTCACAAAAGCCATATGCATGAAACTTGATGAAAACCATGCAAAAGATTGGGTTGGTTTTGAATTATTCAGTAAAACATCTGTTAAATTTTCATAAAAATCTTAACAGCGATCCTATCAGGCATGAAGAGATGGAAAAATACAGTCTTTGTGCAAAACCACATGAGCAACAAGAGCAGATGCTTTCAATATCTTTCTGTCTGCTTTCAGAATAGATCTTTCCACTGACCATGGAGACACAAAAAACTGTCAAATTTTCATTGTGACACTACTCATAGCTGTTTCTGTCACAGAAATCAATGCAAAACAAGTGAACAACATGTTTGCCAGGATTTCAAAAAGGCCTCTCAACACTGATTGTTTTCTCAAAAAAAAAAAAGCCAGTGATCAAAATGCAAATTTTAACAATACTTTATGTAGCCTGTGTATTAAATTCTCAATAGATTATATATGCAATAAAAAGTCACCAGAATGTGCCATTCCAGATTTAAAAATCCTTTCCCCTTACTATACCCCTGACAACTTTAAGGTCTCTTTCCATGTTAATTCAGGTAACTCTTTGTTCTAAATTCTTTGCCACCCACTACAATACTGCATCATTACCACCCACACTGTGAATCTTCTCATGTTTCTTTAGTTGAAGTTTTATTTCAAACTTTTTTCCACAAACATCACAACCATATAGTTTTTTCTGAGTGTGAATCTTCCCATGTTGTTTTAGATAACTATTTGTTCTAAATTTTTTGAAACAAACCACACAACTGTATGGTTTCTCCCCAGTGTGTATTTTCTCATGTTGTTTTAGGTTTGCCTTTGTTACAAAATCTTTACTACATGTTATACAACTGTACGGTTTCTCTCCAGTGTGTACTGTCTCATGTCTTTTTAGGCTACCCATTGTTCCAAATTCTTTGCCACACACTTCACATACGTATGGTTTCTCTCCAGTGTGTACTCTCTCATGCCTTTTAAGATTACCACTTGATATAAACTTTTTGCTACAAACTAGACAGCTGAATGGTTTCTGCCCACTATGTATTTTCTCATGAATTTTAAGATCACCACTTGTTTTAAAATTTTTGCCACACACTAGACAACTGTATGGTTTCTCCCCAGTGTGTCTTGTTTCATGTATTTTTAGGCTACCCATTATTTGAAAGTCTTTTCCACATACTACACAGATGTATGGTTTCTCATCAGCGTGTACTCCTTCATGACTTTTCAGTTCTCTACTTGTTACAAATTCTTTGCCACACACTACACAAATGTGTAGTTTCTCCCCAGTGTGTATCCTTTCATGATATTTCAGTTCACCACTTGTTCTAAATTTTTTGCCACATATTATACAACTGTATGGTTTCTCCCCAGTGTGTATTCTCATATGTATATTTACTGTAGAACTATACTTAAATCTTTTGCCACACACTAGGCAATTGTATGGTTTCTCCCCAGTGTGTACTCTCTCATGCATTTTTATGTCATAGTTTGATATAAATTTTTTGCCACACGCTACACAGCTATATGGTTTCTCCCCAGTGTGTATCTTCTCATGATGTTTTAGTTTCCATTTTGTTAGAAAATGTTTTCCACAAACTGCACAACTGTGTAATTTCTCTCCAGTATGTATTATCTGATGTATTTTTAATTCACTATTTGTTCGAAATGATATTCCACAAGCTGCACAACTATATGGCTTCTCTCCAGTGTGTATTCTATGATGTATTTTTAATCTGCAATTTGTTTCATATTGTTTTCCACAATATTCACAACTGTATGGTTTGTCACCATCATGAACTATGTTAGACCGACTTAGGTTACTTGAACTTAAATATGTTTTTCCACACACACCACTGTTTGATTTTGGGGAGTTGACAACTTCAGTAAGTGGATTTTCTTGTTTTGAAACGTGATCAGGAAACAGACTTCCACAACAGATGTTCTCATCAGTCTTTATATCTAAAATCAAAATATATGATATAACAAACAAAGCAAACAGTTAATACTAAATACATCATACACTACTTTTATTGATAAACTTCTATGTACTTGGATACAGTCAGATGTAACCAAAACAAACATATGGATACCAAAACTGAAGAATAATTATACACATTAAATAACAGATGTAAAGATGAAAGTTAACATTTTTCTCACCTCAAGTGTATTTATGATAGATATTCACCCCTCCATATAAGAAATGGCTAGAACCTCAGTGACAGTCCCAAAAATGTTTTGTGCATGTATAACATTTTTGAAACATCTCTCACCTTTACACATAATATATGATGCAATCAACATAAGAGTATACTACCATAATTATATAAAGGTAACACATCCTCTTTGCTCTGTACCGTATCAAAGCAATTCTACTGGGTAAGCTAAAAATGTCAAAGGAAAGCAGAAGCATTTTTTTGCCACGTAGACCAAGGGTCGACATTTCAAAGAAGGACAGAAGGCCTTAGTTCTTCTACTCACAGACAACAACAAACTCACCCTGCAGTGGAAAGGACCTTTTGAAGTACAGGAAATTATCAATAGAATGTACTATAAAGTGAAAGTAGATGGGAAGATCTATCCCACCAATCTGATAAAGAGGTACTTTGAGAGGGAAGAAGACATCATGGGCACAGCTGGACATGGCAGGTGTAGATGTCATAGACGCAGAACCTGAAGACAGTGACTTCGTTATAGACAGAGCTCTAGATAAGATTTTAGGTCGATAAGTATTTACTCCCAGAAATCCAACTCAATGCTGAAAAGCAACATTTCAATGAGTATTTAAAACAATCCAATTTTTTTCTCCTTAAGGTACAAATTCTTCTTATGTATGCCAAAGGCTTAGGCTTTATAATATGTAAATATTTTTCCCTTAAGGAGAAAAAAAGGTATATGTACAAATCATTACCTTGACATTGCTTTGCCACATAGAGGTAGTCTTCTGTCTAAAGGTAGAAAAAAGCCATTCTTTCTTAAAGTCCTATATCACAAAACTGGTCTGTGTTGTTTGACTGACCTGCTCAAAATCTGATATGACCAGCTTAAGTCTTTACATCACAGCTGACTGAATATGAATAACTGTGTTTATAACTGACTAGTATCTTTGCACTTGTGTCTTAAGTCTTTTACAGCTCTGTCTCTGCTAAATAATACACCCTGAACTGTGACTAGATTTAAAAGATTCCAGTACTTTCTGTGCATGATTACCAAGAACGTTAACCTTTTAACTTCAAAAACTTTCACATGATTCCATGTTATACTAATATATTGTACTTGTTCAACAACTCCTATGGAAGCTGAAGCACTCCTCCTTTTCTTTTTTGTAACCCTTAGCCTGACTGCTCTAACTGGATCATAATTTGATAATGTTATACTACTCATTTGAATATTCAAAAGACTGTCTAGAGTTTCTACTTTTAATGAACATCTGTATTTGTTCTATATTCTATTTTGGTCACTGAAACTCCTTTCACACTCAACACTTGTTACAGCTATACATAGTGCTATTGCACTCAGCTTTGCAAACTCGGGCATCAATTCTTTATGCAATTGTATAACCCTCTGGCACAGACTCTGAGTAGGTAAATGTTTGTGTGAGCCTGAAATCATACCTTTTGGCATGGACCATTCATGCTTGAGCTTTTCTTTGTCTAAGAGTTTGCTGACTTGTTTTTGTTCTTCTCTTTGTTCATCCTCCTCCTGGAGACTGCCATAAACAACATTTACTGTTAGGTCAGTTCCATATAACAGTGCAAGAGTCTCAAGAGCTTCTTCACTTTTACCAGTACCTGCCAAATTTACCACCACTGGTTCCAGCATCTGGCTAAAGTCTTTAAAAATCTCACTGTCTTCTTTCTTGAACCTATTTTAAATTTTTTTTAGACTTGATATATACCTCTTTTTCAGGTTTGACAATTCACTTTCAATGTTTACAGAGTACTTCTTTAGTTTTTGTCCATTCATAAAAGCATTAGTTTTTCCTTATTCTCTAAATTCTATGTAGTCTCTAAAGCTCTTTACAGCATTTCCATCTCCTGATTCTAGAAAATCCAACTTAGCTATTGTTGCTTCCATCACTTTTGTTTTTGTAACTTCTCTCTAAGCATAGCAAGAACATCATCAATATGTAGCATAAATGACACCAGCATCACTGTCTTATATTCTTAAAAGTATTTGTGCAAACCATGGATAGTAGCATTTTTCTCTTCTGCAAATTTTGAAAGGGTTTATTTGTTTGTAATTAAGCACAAAGCTACAAGATGGGCTATCAATGCTCTGCCCACCACGGGTATCAAAACCCGGATTCTAGCTTTGTAAGTCCGCAGACATACAGCTATGCCACTGGGGGGCATTTGAAAGGGTAACCAGAATGGAGTTATAACTCTCATACACAGCATCAATAGCAGTTTAAAGCCCAAGCCATCTTATGCTACGTAGCTCTTTTACTGTAAGTTCAGGCTCACCTAAAAGTTTTTGAATACTATTGAGTTTTTAAGTGTGGTTACTTAACTCACTCATGAAATAATACAAAGAGTTAAAATTATCTCTAAATGTCTTGAGTGTGTCCAACTGTTTAATTGAATCTGTCACAGCTAAGTTTAGGTGATGGGCAGTACTTTGATTTCATCTGCACACCAACATCTGTCTTTTTACCTGTCACTGTTTATGCACCATCTGTTGCTAGAAAAACAATCTTAGCTGGGTCAAACCTGAGGTTAGTGAGGCACTTTATCAGGTGACTGACAATGGTGTGAGCTTTTCCATCCTCAGTGGCTACACTTGTTAAGAGCTTTGTTACTGCTTCACCATTCTTCACATACCTTATACATACTGATGTTTCTGTATTGATAAATCTGTGCTTTCATCTATCACTATTGCATATGTCTCGGACTGAAGGATTTCTTCTATAAGTGACCTCTGAATAACTCTACTTATACAAGACTGTATATCATCTATTGTTACATAGCTTAAATCCTTATATTTGATATTTGCTCCATTCAAATTCTGTAACTCAACTAAACTGTTGACTTTAACAGATGGCAACTCTTCCTTTGGTACATAAAAGATTGTATGAAAAAATTTACTGTCATCATCTGATACAGAGATTGAATTATCTTCCTTGTAAACATCATTGTCATACATTTTACTCTTGTCCCCAGATTCCTTCAGTAAACCTTTTTTGCTCTGTCGGTGTCCTGAAGACAGCCCATGCCTCTCAATAATGTTCTTCTGAATATTAGGTGATCCCTCATTCACCCATATGCTTCTCACTTTCTCTCTATGCAAATACTGCACTTCAGTCTCTTATCTACCCCTTCACCAACCACCATTAACCATAAAAATTGTTTCTTCCAAGACAGATTTGTCTTTTCAGAAACAGTAGTTCCAGGGTGTTTCTTTGCTGTTTGATCACCAAGTTCAGTGCAAGCAATGATGAGATCATTTACTATTTTGCAAATGATCTTTGCAATGTCTTCAGTTTTATCATCTCGAGTGAAATATTTGTACAGTGAGCTCGTATTTGTCGCATAATTCTTTTTAAATCATCCTGGTTGCACACTAAGCTGTTGATGAGACAACATTTTTGTCATTTGTGTGTCATGAGTGCTTGATAAAGTGGATAAAAATCAATAAGCTTTTGCTGTCTCTGATTGCATCAGACTGAACTGGGTTCCATAAAAACCGAAGCAGCATGTCATACTTACCTGGATTGTTGGAAACCAGTCATGCCTGCTCAATTAGCTTACATAAATTTATGCCAAATAAAGACAGTAAATCCATACCGGACCAATTTTCAAAGCCTTTTTATATGCCTAGATCTGATGTATAATATGTTTTTTGAGAAAAATATGTGTGAATACACAGTATGCATCCTTATCTAGAGCTCTGTATAGAAGATAAAGACCTACAAGACCCTTGACCACCGGGTGGAGATGAGACGTACAAGGATGTCAACATAAGTGAAGAAAGCAGAAGAAAAAGGTACAAGATATACTATGCCAATATACAGATAGATCAGTCAACACAAGATCAAGACAAAGACAAGGGATCCTGTTAAGGTGAAGCCCTACCAGATACCCTGTGAGAAGAGAGACCAACAAGGGAACTGCAAATGTTGAGGCAGACTATATGAGGCAGACTATATATACTCTTTGTATATAGTATAAAAATATTATAAATATTTTTGTTGAAGAGGAGCTTATTGTTGGATATACAAACCTGTTTAGTTTAAGAGTTATTTGGTTTGTTTAGTGATTTAATATTGATTTATTGTTTAGTTTTCATAACAAGGTCTTAATTAAATGTTAATTATTTTAAAAGTGATAGTTGTGATAAGTTTGTTAGGTATGTACATTGTGTATGCAGTTTAATTGTTGTACTAGGCTTTTGTAATATTGTTGCTACTAGAGGGTTAGATATTTCTAAACTTTTCTGTCGTGTGTTACAAATACAGAAGTAAGTTAGTAAGAGCTAAGTTTGTGAAAGTGAAGTTTGACTGTGTGATGTTAATTTAGTTGCAATGGGAAATATCTAAAGTGAGTTTCGCAGTGGTATTGTAACATCAGAGATAAAGAATAATAATTTATATTGTTAAAGGGTGTTCTAAAGTAATTGAACTCACCTGTGTGGATTTTGATGAAAAGGAGACAATTATTTAAAGCTCTAGATACAACTGTGGTAACCAATAGTTATAATGGTGATTTCTAAAGTGAAAGTTTTGCATACTGTATTGTGAGAAACGGAGATAGAAAAGTGGGTTTGAAAGTAATTGATCCAGCCTGTGTGGACTTTTGAAGTAAAAGAGAATTATTTAGAATTTTAGATAAAACTGTGATAACCAGTAATGTAATGAATATATATATTATTTTAAAACAAGTGGATTGTGTGCTGTCCGTTTATTGTTTAAATTCATTGACAAGAAGTCACAGACACCTACTCTAAAAGAATCCCAGTCCATATACAAAACCTGACAATAAGGGACAAAGGTGGGATTACCTGATCCTCATCAGGAAGAGGGAATCAGAAGAAAAAGTACTTTTTTCTTATAACAAACTCTTATAAAGATGGGGTAGGCTCAACTGAAATAACAGAAGTAGGAGATGGGGAATCATGGATCCTCAATACGAATGCAACCAGCTACTTGATGCATAATGATGGTAACATCACTGACCATCAGGGTTACCAGCCACCATTACAGTACCGGATTACTCTTGTTGAAAAGTTTCAGAAACATAAAAATGCAAATTCATAATTCTTGTGATCCACAAAATTACAGAGTTATATATACATGTGTGTGTTAGCCTGGCAAGTCTTTGGTACAAACATCTACATTGACGTGTGTAATGATGAAATTGAAAAGCATTGTACTGAATGAAACCTGTACAAAAACAACAGGAAACTATACTATCAAAGAAACCGTATCATAAATACTGGAACACATGTCCCAAAGTACAACTTTGATTAGAAGGAAAAATCAAATCAAAATAACTGAATCAAAAATATAACAGAAATATTTTAAAATGTAGTATCTTTCACTATTATTTTCAGGAAAATTAAGGAAGAAAGACTACACTCTGTACAATACCAAAAATGTAAAATAATAAGCAGAAATTGCCATTAATTCTTAGAAAACATATTTGAACAAAGCAGGAAAAGAATGAGCCTTTGTTGTAATGCTACTGCTTAAGAGGTGTACTGTGCAAGAATGTTGTGTCCCTCTCCTACTGGCATGGGGCTATAATCTAATGATTATTACATTATAAGCTACTCAGTCTTTGTTAATACATGCCAGGCTTGTAGCTCCTAGGTTTGTACTAGTTGCAAAAACCTTTTCAGTAGATGGACAAGATAATAATAACTGTATTCTGCAGAGGTGTATAACATTACTAAAAGTCAAATAATGATCAACCATATGTTGAGTAAATCATGTTAATACATGTTGAGTTTGGAATTCTATTCAAGGCTTTTTTTTAGCATATGTAAAAATCTTTAGATGTTTGTTTTGCAGAGTTGTGTGCACCATTACTGAAGCAAACTATTTATTATAGATATTTGACAATTCATTTCTTATGTAATATCAATAACTTTTCTTTATTTCCTCAAGTTTAAATTACTGTAATTACTTCATAATATACTTTCAGACTTCAAGCTTGTTTCGTGTTTAACTCTTGGATGCTACTTACTCAAAATGGCTCACTCAAACTGTTTAATTAACTAAATATTGCTAGTTCTTGCTAATTCACTGACGTGGCCTGACAAGTTTTTATATTATGATTTCTTGATGTATTCATAATGCTTAGTTGCAATACTGTAGCTACACTGAACTAAATCAGTTCTAACTTGCTAAAGATGATGCATGTTGTCACTGTCCCATAGCACTCAAATAAAAACCAATGATTGGCCTTGTTTTTGAGATGGAAGAAATGTATTTTGAGTTGTTAAAAAGTGCTTTACTAGCAATAGCTGAAACTTAATGCACAGGTGATAGTGCAGAATATAACTGCAACAATGTCACTGGATTCAGGTTTCTCATATCAGAGACCAAAATAAACAATAGAATACAACCTAATTTTACTGGTAGATATTTGTTGGATAAGAAACATTCAATGTAGAACACAGTCTGTCAATAAATGATGGAAAATTTAGGTACATTGCTAAAATAAATAAGGTAAAATTCACACTATATTTAGAAAGAAAAACACTGGAAAGAACACAATGTATTTAAGTTCTAAATATATGTACTTACTATTAGTTATGGAAAAAGTTTCTACTTCATTTTTCACCATTTTGATATCCAACAAAGAATTCTGCTCTTCACCAGAAAAAGGTTCAACTTTCACCTTTAACACTTCCATCAGACCTTCACTTTATATTCTTATCAAAACTTGCAGTTAGACTACAGAGAAACAGTTAAAGAATTAAAACTTGCATTATTCTAAAAGGTTCCAGTTTCTAACAAATACAAATCTAAAAATACACATTACCTTGATAACTTTCCAATTCATCAGTTTCATTTCCTTCAAATTTTACTCTAAATCTGTTACTAGTACTTTTTATCTAACATCACTGATTATGAAATAAAATGTGAAGTTAGATACTAAGACAATTCTTATCAACAGATTCATGAGGTTTAAAGATGTACGTAGTGACTGTGGATAAAGCTGGGTGATTTAGGTATTTGTTAATTGATTAGCATGGTGTCATAAAAACATGATGCAGATGAAGTTGGTAGTGCACGCTACAAGCAAGTTAATTTCTCTTTAGTCAGCAGTTCAAAAAGAAAACAATAACAAACTTGTCAGTGGGTGGTGCCAAAGAATTGCAAGCACAAATATCAAAAATATTGACAGTGGTAAGTATTCTTAGCAGACCCTCAAATCATGATTATTTTCATGACAACTGCTTAATCAATTGTTAGACTAACTAAACACAGTCACAATGTGAAATATTACTCAATGTAATCAATGCTCATGGGTAACTGATTATACAGATTAATCCATCAAGTCATCCAGCAATATACCAGATATTTTGAAATATAATAAAAGACTCCAAGAGTCTCTTAATTCCTCAAAATTGGTGAAAATTATTCTGCGGTGGGGTTTTACCCAGACCCCTTAAAACAATGATTCCCTTAACCAATTGAATCTCTTCAATGAACACTTAGGCTTCAAAAGTTAGGAAGAACTTACTTTTTTCATTATTCCAATAATCAATTGATTAAAATTATGATTGATTGTGACAAAAATAACCAACAAATCAAAATTAGTCTGTCAAATTATTCTAATATTTGATTAATCAAAATCACGATGAAATCAATTTTAAGATATATAATCAACTAATCAAAATTAGGATTTACAATTACTCCAACTACCCAAGTAATCAAAATATCAACATTATATTTGATGTTATGCACACAGCTACCAAATAAGCTGTGTGTGCTGTATCCAAATTTAGCCTTATAATTTTGTTTTGATTTCAAGCTTGTTCAGCCTTTGTGATTTGATTCCCACTTCAACCAAACCTACCTTATTTTTGTTATGGCAAAGCTACTAAAAACTCAAACCTCCTATCTTTTTTTATTTAATTTCCTTAGAAGGAAGTTTTAATTTTAAGTTCATATAATTTTTTCATATTATGGTGTTTCATGTAATTTTATTTCTTTATTTAGTAAGTCAGAATGCCACATTTTCTGCATTTTATAATGTAATCTATCTAATACTAGTTTATGAATTAGTTATTTGAAATAAAAGTATTTTGTCTGTTTTGTGTTATAATTAGTTTTTTAAATTTTTCTTTCCTTTATCAGATCATGGTTGTACCATTGGCAACATCAAAATTTAACTTTCAGTTGGGTTGAGATAAGTGATAAGAATGAGGGTGGTGGATTTAAGCATGTTAAATTACAAAACTTGAAGCAATAATGTTGAAGGTTTAACAACTGAATTATTAAGTGGCCCATAGTCTTTTAAGAATTAAAAGTTATATTTAAGATTTTCTAAGAACAAGTCTATAGCTAATATTATTAAAAGTAGATACCGTAAAAACATATTAGCTCAATTTAGAAATGCCAAAGAATACATTTAATTTTTTTAAAAAATAAACTACATATTGTTTTTTGTAACGAATGTAAATGATTAAAATTAACTCCTTGGTTTCTTAATTTTAAAGTTTCAATTTATCATTTTTGAATCTTTAGACAATAAAACAAATACCCAAATTTTAAAATTAAACAAAAACATGAGTTATTGAAATTTTTATCAAGATTATCCATAGATGCATTTAAATTGTTAGAAAACAAAATAGGACATTTGGACTTTATACACTTAAAACTTTCATTAGATCACAAAATTTTTATAAAGGGAAAAAATAACTGCTTAAATTAAATAATTTGAGGCAATAGTTATGCAAAAGTTCATTTATACAACATTCCAATAATGTTATTATTAATTACCCAAAGTATGTTTTGAATGATGTTGAGAAGAGTTTTAGCTCATGGTTGAAATTTAGTATTTCTAATAAGCCCAAGTTGGAAGATCATTTTGCAGAAGTTGGAACAATTTTTTCAATTACAGTCACATAAACCTATTTGATGGAAATCTGGTCAATCCTTTAGTAATATTGGAACTTAAATTAGTGGTATGGCTCATATTTCTGTAAAGAACTATAAGTGTAAATATAAAACTTTATCAATTTAAGTTCCATAATGTTACAGCTTTAAAAAATCTAAATAAAAATGAGTATTATGACTTCTAGATCTGATAAAGGAAATTGCACTGTAAAACTAGACAAACACAACCTCTCACATCTCAAGTTAGTTATCTTAAATTCTGCTTCAATTGAACATTGCATGGGAACATGAGGAACAGCATCTTATTTATATTGTAGGAACTCTTTCCCCATCAAGACTAAATAAGTACGTTTCTATCATTTAGTGTTTTCTTCAGACTAATTGTTATTGTTTTTGAAGGTTGTTTACTGCAACCTAAATTTTATACATATTCTCTCATATCCTATGTTTTTATAACTAGTGGTTTAATAACAGCAAAAAAGAATTTCAATGTATATTCTTTACCTTATTTTGAATTAACTTCTACTCCTTTATTCACTCAAATTGATTTTATGTTATTAATTTATCCGGATTTTACTATATTATCTTTCACCTACACAAGAGTGATTTAAAGAAAACACAATGAAATGTATAACATGTTTATTTCTTTATTCTGCTACAGCCATTTGTATTTGTTTCTCATTTAGTTTTTATACTGAATTTAGTGACTACCTAAAGAAGTGCCTTGGCCCAAAACAGTCATTAGTTAAAAATAAAGAGGGTTCACATGCCTACATCACACTGATTCTAAAACTCTCTTTGTATCCAACAATGCAAAAATCTAGATATTTAAAAGCTTAGGCCACAACAATAATTTAATGAATTTTTTGTACAAATTATGGCTTTTTTTATAAGTCAAAAAAGCTAAGTTAAGAAAATATTAGTTTCAATAAATCTGTACAAAATGTTTGCCATCTCACTATAATGTACATAGTGTGTATATATGTATCTATACATGTGTCAGGAAAAATAAATACACTATAGCACTATCTATTGAATGTCACCACAAACAAAAATCCATAAAAAAATTCAAACTTTGGGTATTCAATATTCAGACAATTAGAAAAATAAATGTGGTATGTACAACAACCATTTCTTTATAATAGAACACAATTTTAAATAAAAGTACTTCCACACAATAAGAACATGACTTTCACTAGGACTGTGCATGAGGGTTTGATTACATCATTATTGTAAATATAGTAATAAAAATATAGAGTTCTTGAAAAATAAAAATTGTTTTTCAATAAAGGAACCACTTTTAATTTATAAAAACATTATATCAGCACAATCCAAACACTTTTCCCATGCAGTACTTCCCAGAAAATTCCTTTTTTATAGAAAATGTTCACATTTTCTACATTTTTTTCATTGAGATATGAATATTACAATTAGTAATTACTAACACAAACAACCACCCTTAGGGTGGCATTTCTGCTAGTTCTGATAATGAACAAATGCAATACATAAGCTTAACTGTAAATATTAATTTTAAACCTCAATGTATTACTTTTAATCAGGGTTTTAAATATAAGTGGGCTAAGGATTCTTCTACAGTAAGTTTCTGTGACTTGTTGGTGATAAATGTCAACAATAAACAGACAGCACATAATCCAATTGTTTTAAAATAATATATATTTATATATATTCAAAACAAGTCAAACATGCATACAAAAATTCTTTACACTATAGGATATCACAGTTCTATCTAAAACTCTAAATAATTCTCTTTTCTTGTCAAAAGTCCACACAGGCTGATTCATTTACATTAGAATCCAATTGACAAAAAGAATTATTTTTCTCTATCTTCTTTTCTCACAATACAAATCAGTGAATAATTCACTTATGCTACCCCATGGATTACCACAGTTGTATCCTGAACCTCAAATAATTGTCTCCTTTTCGTCAAAGTCCACACAGATGGGTTCAGTTACTTGAGAACACTCTTTGACAAGACAAATTATTCTCTTTATCTCTATTAAACTGTGAAACTCACTTTAGAATATTACCTGTTATGGCTAATCACTCACACACCTGCTAACTTCATGTTTTCTTTCACTAACTAATTTTCTGACTAAACTGAACTTGACTTTTTCTTTCTATTTTACTTCACTTCTTCTTCTTGACTTGCACTCGTGAGCCACCTATATAAATACCTTATTCACTGAGGCCTCAAAAAATATCGAAGATTTAAGTAATGTGACATCAACAATATTAGTAAAGCCTAGACAACAATGCAACTGCAAACACAATGTATGATTGGACAGAGTTACATAACCAAACCTGTCATAACTATCGCTTTTAAAATAATTGCTTTTAACTCTCTTGTTATGAAAAGTAAATAATCATTAAACCTTAAATCGCTAAAACAAATAATAACACTTACACCAAAAATCTTGTATATCCAACACTTTTATTGTGTTAAAATTCTCACTTAAACTTAAAGGTGGATTTGTTTGTTTATTGTATTTTGCACAAAGTTATCCACACTAGCCATCCTTAAATTAAAAATGACAGACTAAAGTAGAGGGAAGGCAACTATTCAACACCACCAATTATTGTGCTACTATTTACCCAGACAACATGGTATTTACCTTCATGTTGGGTGGTTGGCCTTTGGAATGGGTTGTCTTTGAATATTGTGGAGGCAGTAAATTTAAGTAAATTTATCTTTTCTTTTAATTTATTTATTAATAGTTTTAGTTTAGTTTAGATGATGGAACAGCCAAGATGGACCAATAGGTCCCGTGTTGTCCCAAAATATTATGTTATAGCCCTATGGCTGAAATGGCAAGCATGTTCAGTGACAGGTTTTGAACTCACAACCTGTAAATTGGAAATCAAGCTCCCATTTTATCTGAATCCTATTTAATCACTCACTAGAATTTAACATTAACACTGTACAGTTAGTGGTGTATGGAAGTTTTAAAAGGATTTTAATGTACTTTTTTGTGATAGAATCACAGACATTATTATTAAGTAAATAAAAAAACCAAGAGAAGGATTTAGTTGTTAGTATTATTTTTTTTAAGAGTGTTAGAAAATAGTTGTTGAAACTAGTACTAGTAGTATTACTCTGTTTTGATGTACACTAATACCAATAACTATCCATGGCACTCATAATTATCTCCTACAATATTGTTATGACAGCGGAAGTCAAGTTATGCTGAGAGCATGCGCATTGGAGTTTTTCGAATTATCGAGGAACCCCGCTAATGTCCAAATGTTTGTTAGATGCCCTCTTTATTAGTATATAAGCCTGGTGAGAAAAACCAGTGGGATTGAATACATAGATAATTGAGTCAAGCGAACAGTAGGCACCATAGGTAAAGTTTGTGAATCACTGTGATTTATAGCGTGTATTATAAAGTTGTTAAGTTTAAAGTGACTGTAGCAATTCAGTGTATTAGAAAAAGTTGTATCAAGAAAGAATAAACTAGTTTTAATTTGGAAAGGACTTGTATTGCTGAAGTTCCTCGGAAAGAAATTATACCGGAAATTAACAAACAAGCACAATATGTAACATGCATTATAAGCAAATTACTACAGCAGTCATAACCTTTCATATGCACCTAGTATTTACTAGTATTAGTATTAAAAAGGCCTCACACACACACCTTAACTAGCTTAAGTATTAATAATAATATTATTAAAACTATATAATTATTATGAAGAAAAAATGCTTAAACAATTCAAATACAGAACAAAAACTAGATAAAACTAAAAGTACAGTAAGAATACGTATACACATACGTTTTATAATCCTGTAATAAATCCTAACTGCTTTTCCTACCACAAACTAATTTTAATTATTAAATAGCACTAGTGAATTTTTTATGGCATTGTAATTTGTATGCTTCGTTCTACTAGTACTCCTACAAGTACAACCTACTAATCTATTGCCAGTATTGGTCGCATCTATTTACTATAATTTAGGCATGCTCAAAGTCAAAACGAACGTGATTCTATTGTTCTAACAGTAACAGACCTGTTGATACTCTTTACCGTGCATCTGATGAATTAACTCTTATTCTTAACGTTCAAGAATCCCAGAGGTTAATGGTGTGAATTTGATATATATCCCTGTAAAACATTTAACAAGACTTCACATAAGAGGTTTATTTTAAAAAAGTATGGGCTATAAGGTTAGTCATTCGGTAAAACTAGAAAAGTGTCAGGATGGAATAAAACAGAGGCTTGTTAATGTTATACGCTAATAAAACTTATAAAGGAGTTCAGCAAAACTGGATTAATGTCACAAGTAGGTTATCTCGGGAGTTAGTGCTCTTACCTGACATATATTATTAACCTCGAAGTTGCAATATAAATAAAGATTAATACATCTTGTAAGTTGTAAAAGTAGAAAGGCTATCTGTGACTAAACTAAAGGCTGTAAAACTTCCACTCGTTTCAAACTCAGTTACGCGTGCTCCTCATGCCACCTGCTGATTACAGGTGTTCAGGCATACTTAAAACGAAAGTGATTCCGTTGTTCTAACAGACTTGTTTGATAATTTGATATTCTATTCCATGTATCTTATGAATGAACATTTAATGTTCGATAATCTCAGAAGGTAATCTAATCTATCTGAATTTTCCAAAAGCATTTGACTAGGTTCCACACAAAATGTTTGTTTAATATGTATATTTATATATCTATAAGTGTGGGGGACAAGTTGACTGATTACGTAGAAAAGTGGCTGAATAGAAGAAAGTATTTTAAGACAGAGAGTTGTTATAAAGCGAATTCAGTCAAAATAGATTAAACGTCACATGTAGGATACCTCAGGACTCAATGTCAGTACCTTTGTTCTTTATCAGTTGCAGATGAAGGAATAGTCAATAAATCAAACTTGGGAGTTGCTGACTTTGAAGTGGATACTGTTACTTTATAAAGGGATGCAGATTACTTGGTGAGATGAGTAAATAAATGACAGAATCCGTTTTAATTACAATAAATACAAGATGATACTGTGGTTATCATAGTTTGAATTAATACTGTTACGTCTCTGTGTTCGTTTGTTAATTTCCCGTATAATTTCTTTCGGATGAAACTTTAACGATAAAAGTCCTTTCTTAAATAAAACTAGTTTATTCTTTCTCAGTACAACTTTGCAATACACAGAATTTCCACAGTCATTTTAACTAAAACACACGCTATAATTCACAACGATTCACGCACTTTATTTACGGTCACTATCGCGCTTGACTCAATTGTCCGTCTCTATCTCTGTCTGCAAATATCTATCCGTCTTATATATACAAAATAGAGGGCGTCTGCCAAACACTCGAGCCTTCAGGAACCTTCTAGATACTCATTACGTGTTACCAGAGTCACGTGACTTCCGCTGTGTTAACAATATTAATAAGTATAATTTTGATGAAATAACTTTGGCAGTGTGTTTTAAGCTATATTTTCAATGTTTTAATTTAGATGTTTGCTATAGAGAGCAGTTAATCCTGATAATAATGAAACATCTAGAAAACTCATGAAAGTAAAGGCCTTTGTAAGAGTTTAAAAGTTTCACTTGGTTTGTAGAAGTAGGGGGTACCTTATAAATACAAGTGTTGCGTCATCGAGGTCACGTGACTGGTGTGGCGCCACCTATTTTCTAGAACTATCCTGTACCTTGGCGAATGCTCTAGTATTTACTAGATATAGGGTAGTCTGGTATATGAAAGAGGGTGACAACGTGACGGGAATGAATAATGTGTGTGTAGATAGTGAGTAATTGAACTGCAGTCACAGGGTATTGTTCATGTTAACGTTCGTTCGTTATAGTGTTTGTTTTAGCGCGAATATTGAAATTAAGTGTATCGTAAAGTTATATTCGGAAAGAATAAACCAGTTTTATTAAGTAAAGACTTGTGTCGTTAAAGTTTTGTCGGAACGAAGTTACGGAAAAATCAGTTAACAAACGGAGACGTAACAAATTGGTGTCAGAGAGTGGGACAAAAAAAAATTGAAACGAGAAGCGGCAAATCAAACTACAGCATAACAGACTTGATGGCAGCAATACAAGAACAGCAAAAGCAACAAGAAG